TAACAAGAGTACCAGAAAATAAAACAGAACGGGACCCAGGCTCAGAGAGAGAGAGAGAGAGAGAGAGAGAGAGAGAGAGAGAGAGAGAGAGAGAGAGAGAAGAGAGAGTCTCAGAGAGAGAGAGCATATCTTTGGTGAGGCAGAACAATCAAGATTCAAGACAATACAAAGATGTGAAGAACGAAGACAAGGGCGCAACCTCCTGCAACGAGAGTAATGGCTACTCTGTGACAGGTGTTGAATATCAGAATGTCTACTGGTCGTCTGGTTTTAGGTGTCTTTGGAATATCTGCATGTATATATATATATATATCTGTTTGTGACGATATATATGATATATATCGTCAAATAGAACTGCCTACGGTAAACCGTAGGCAGAGAGGGAGAAGAGGACAACAAATGAGGGGCTGTGACAAACTGTTTCGTCGGAGTTATATATATATTCTCCCTCTCTGCCTACGGTTTACCGGGCAGTTCTATTTGACGATATATATATCATATATCATATATATATTTTAAGCTATATTCTTCTCTCAATTTCACCTCACACTACCTACCTACCACTACTCCTAATTGTAGGCATACGGGAACCCTGTAGCAGGCAGAACTGTGTTCACGAGAGAGGATGCGGGGGCTGCTCCCGACCTGCAGGTGGGCAATACCGGCTAGGGGACAGCTGGTAGCATCAGGGACCATGCCAACAGGACCAATCCCTGTGCCTCCCTTCAGGTCCCCTCCCCTACGAACATCAGCAGACTCTGCTCGATGCCAATCGGGGGATCCAGTGGTCTAGCTCTAGGTGGCGGGCACCAAGCATGCCCAGGAAGGTACATGAGGCCAATGGGGATTGAAACCACGACCTCCTGAATGCCACTTTGCATGTATTTGTTGAAGTGACTAGTAGAGGATTTAATGGGATCAGTGTTGATTATCTTTACTACTTTCAGGTTGTGTATTTGTTGAAGTGACTACCGTCTTCCCCCCGAACACAACGCACCCTTGTTTTGGCTGTACCGGACCGGAAATATAGCTTGTATACATTTATTTTCAGGGTGTGTTATGTTCGGGGGAAAAAGGTAGTAGAGGATGTAATGGGATCAGTGTTATCTTTAGTTCTGGTTTTATATTCCAGATGGTGCAGGATGGTCAAGTAGCAGCAGACAAACTCCAATTTTATCGAGTCGGGAAAAAAAAAGAAAGAAAAAGGAACGGGGAAAAAAAAAGTCGGCACGCAGTGACAATCAGGGTCAGCAAAAACAGGCTCGGAAATAGTGGTTTAAATATTTGGGCATAGTACTCACACTGGGACTATTTTACTTAGTTTTGTAAGTAAATGCAGTCAGGTACATCCAGGTCGGGCCGCAATTGTGGTCAGATACATTGAAGATAGTGCTAGTGTGAGTACGCCCTTAGATAGAAGTGAAAAAAGAGAGGCACCCAAGAGCCTTCAGTCTTCCCCCAAACAATATGCATGCGTTGTATGCTTTGTATGCGTTGTATTCGTATACAACACACGTGCCTAATGGTGTGGATTTTGGGCACTGACTTCGGAAAAGTCCACCCCCCCCCAAAAAAAATCCAGTATATGCCGATACCTTTGCATGAATCGAGAAAAGGTCAAAATAAACATAAACATTTAAAAAAATAAAAAATAAAAAAATGCACAAGGCCGGATACCTCTCTTCACTACTCACCAAATGTACAAAATGTTAATGAATCTTATGCCAGACAATGGACATATGCATCGCCACATTTTTTTGTCTATTGTGCATGTGGAGAGCAGTGGAGCGAGGGCCCGAATGTACATACCATTCGAACAGCCGGCCCCGCTACTGGCTGAGAGTTACATTCGAACAGTGATGCAGTCTTGGATCGCCATCGCCATCACCCGTGGGCGCAGCTAGAGAGAGAGGGGGCG